AAGCACATTGAGATGGACATCCACTTTGTTCGTGAAAAAGTGAAACGTGGAGAAGTGCGTGTCCTTCATGTTCCGTCCCGATATCAGATTGCAAACATCTTCACCAAAGGCCTTCTGCGCGTACTATTTGATGATTTTCGGGACAGTCTCAGCGTCCGGCCACCTCCCGCTTCGACTGCGGGGGTGTAAAAGAATATATGTAATTATTCTTGTGATATTGTAAATCAGTTATATTTGGTGTATATCGTCTATATTAGGTTAGCCAAATATTAGGTTATGTAAGTCAAAGATTATCCTAGATTATAGCCATAACTGTAGCATAATACTGATGTATATAATGCCCTTTGATCAATCAATACAATCAAGCGATTATCTTCTAATAATAAGGTTAGTATGATTTGATTTATTCGTACACAAAGATCTTTATTTGATTGTTTTAATATGTTTCCTTGCACAGGAGTGATAGCACTTGCTTTCAAGGTCAGAGCGGCATTATTATTGTTGAAGAGTAGCTTTTAGCTATGATTGATCAACATTATTGATGCTGGAGATTGTAATTTTTGTGTATTTCACTCTGGGGGATCTCGTGTTGAGTTAAACTAGAAGAAATTTTGTGTTGGAATGTAGCTGGTTATCTCCTTTGTGATAGTTATTGTCTCCTTCACTCTGAGAATGAATTTTTTGACTCAAATTTAGAGATGGGTCAGTTAATTTTTTTTGTAAAATGTAATTGCATTTTAATCTTATTTTCAGAGCTCTTGCAACGAGTATATTTCTTTTCAAAAATATAATGCTTGATGGGTTTTCTCTCTGAAATTATGGGATTAATTTTAGCAAAATAGTGGTGAGTAGTAAGAAAGAGTGATGGACTATGATAATGGCAATCAAGTTCCTAACTATTTTGTTGTAAACTTGTGTATATTCTCTTTATTGACTATGATAATGGCAATCAAGTTCCTAACTATTTTGTTGTAAACTTGTGTATATTCTCTTTATTTACTTGTGTTAAATTCTAACTTGTGTATATTCTCTTTATTTACTTGTGTTAAATTCTTTGTTGCTAGTTCTTAGTTTAGATTATTCTTGTGTCTAAAGGGCTGCATCAATTTATTTTTTGTTTGTCGATATTTGCATTTCGTTGAAGTACATTTAAATACTGAATATGTCGTTGAAATAACTCCATGTTGTAAGTAGTGGTAGTTTTTGTCTAAAGAGCTTACAAGAAGTATTCTTTTGTGCATGTATAAAATTTTTTATTAGTTATATGTGTTAGGATATGTCTTGTATTTGATAAATGAGTCATTCGGGTTATATAGGTCGGGTTGGGTAACCCGTTTAATAACCGGTCGGATCACATTGACCCATTTATTAAACGGCTCGGGTCACACTTATATGAGTCAAGTTAAATTTATATGGATCGAATTGGGTCGGGTCGACCCGTTTGCCACCCCTACATGCACGTAGGGCATATAGGGCTGTCCATCTGGGCTGGACCGGGAAAAACCAGAGCCCAAACCCGGGCCCAGTTGCCCCGGACCGGGTCAGGGCCCAGGCCCGAGCCTAAGCGGGCTGGGCTCCGGGCCGGCTCGGTTACCCGGATTCTTTATTATTTAAATTTTTTTAAATTTTGAAGAATACAATGCAAAAAATAAACACAATTTTGATAAAAAATTATATTATTAATCAATTGTAATTATGTTTTATAAATATAAAAATTATAAAAATTAAAATAATGTAAAATAATTATAGAATTTGTACAAACAAACAAAATTAAAAATAATTGTAGAATTTAAAGAGCCCAAGACCCAAGACCAAATCAAAGACGTCTAAATATATATCATGTGGCTAGGATTTGAACCACTAACCTACTCTCCAAACTCCTAAATTTTACAACTAGACTAAGTAGCCCAAATTATTCATGTCATTCAATATATATATATATATATATATATACACACATATACATATATATATATACATATATATATGTATATACATATACATATATATATATATATACATATATATATA